ATTATGCTCTCCGAGCACATAAGCGGGATCCTTTTATTGAATTCATAAAGGTATACATTTGTAAAGTCCGTTTCATGGAAACGTTAAATAATGATAAAATTGAAGTCATTTTTAAACCTAATGTGCAAATAGGGAATGCTCATGACTCCATTCGTTCTACATGCAAAGCCAATTCCGCAAACCGATGATCCAACTGAAAAAGACGAAGAATATCATATGGATGCAAATGTTGCTAGGTATTGTGATATTCTATCTAGTATTGAAGAATTGATAAATGTAAGTATTGAGATTCATGAAATAAAAATGATGCAGAGATTCTAAGATTTTAATAAAAACTTATTAAATAGGAACATATTCGAAAACAAGCTAAAGGTTTTAAAGAAAAAAAATAATAATTTTATTCAATCGTTTGTTTTATTCCCAGCAATGTTGTTGTTAATATCTACTTATTTGGGTATCCACGTATTAGGTGTCCCTGATCAATCAAGACTTAAAAGACTTGTTCCATCTATATCAACTTTTCATACTCAATTACCGCTACGCGAGTCATTTTTATCAGCTAATGCTAAACATTCTATTGCCGCACGTAGATTTGTACCTCCAAGTTTCAACGACATTCGAAGGTTTTTACTTTTTTAAAACATATATATTTCAATCTTCCATTCATTAATTGCTAATTATTATTTTTTTTGTTGTAGGATTTTAAACACAGCTCAGGTATTTAATTAAATTAAATTGATTATTGGTTTCAGATTACTTACTTTTAAAGAATCTTTAGATTACTGCAATTGCTCCAAAACTCAAATTAATAATTGTCTCTTATACACATCTAGATGTGTATAAGAGGCATTTTTAACAACTTACAATATTCTTAATTTTTATTTAATTTAGTAATGGAAGTGAGATTCGATTCAATTCATCATATTTTCTTTCATTACCAGCAAATAATTAAAAGGACAGTATTTGAACTGATAAAAATGACGTTTGATAAATGAAAACATTGTACAATGCAATACTTATTTTCTCAGAAGTTAAAAAATGATAATTCTTACAATAAAAGCAGAATCGTTCAACTACTAAATAATTACAGTATTAATTAACTTTTCTATTTCTTATTTGGCAAATTTTCAATTTTCATCACTTTGTATTTTTTGTCGATTTAAAATATATAAGTTTAATATAATACGATAATATAATGTGTGGTTGTTTTTATACTAATTGGAGTGTATTTTACTAATTTATCAAATTTCTGATTTTCATCATTTCAGAAACTTGACTTTCTTGAACGTTATTATTATAATCTTTAGATGAAGGCGATACGGTTGTTGAAACGTTGTTATCTTGAGGGGAAGATGGTACGCTTTTTGGAACATTATTGTCTTGAGAAGAAACATCATCTTTCGAAGGTAGAACTCCTTTATGTCTTCCTTTTAAGTAATAATGATTTTTCACCATATTTTCTGATCGCATTTTACCGAATTTATTGTTCAAATCTTCAATTAATTGTTTCCATTTAATACCATTAAATGGATGTTTATTTTTATATTCTTCAACCCATTCGATAATGTATAATTTTTCATCCTCACAAAGTTTCTCGTGACAAACTAAAAAGAAAAATTTAGATAAAATTAAAATCAAATTAAGAACTTTAAATTAGGTAAAATTTACTTACAAAGTGGATCGAGTTTACTCATCCAACTATAAATAACATTAAAAAAAATTTTTATTGTTATGAAAAAAAAAAATAGATTTTGAAAAATTAAGTAAATTTATATAATGAATATATTTACCGCTGACGAATTTGTTTTGGGGTAAATTCTTTGATTTCTTTACTAGCCTTTATATATGGGTTACGTTCATTTTTATTTTCATTCATAAATTTTATAATCTCATTATCAATCTAACAGGAAATTTTTTTTTTTTTTTAAAAAAAAAAAGGAAAATTCTTCAATACAGTATTTATACATTTTTTTTTTTTTTTTTGGCTTAAAATAATGATAAAAAGTTATTCTATGCCATTTTCTATCACGTGATCAATTTTACCCTTCCTTAGAGAAGTTTTACACATTTGATCATATGATTAGTAACAGTTTAAATGTTGAACAAAAACTTTATTTAAAGTTTCACAATTAAATAAGGAATACATTGATTGTCCAAAAATTTAACAATCAAAAAAGAATGTTTTATTGTCTAAAAATATTACAATCACAGTTTCAGTTTTTTTAATAATAAATAAAGTACTATTCTAGAACTAAAATTCAACAATCAAAAAAAAAGTCATTTTTTTTTTAACTGTAATGTCTATATATTTATTGTAAAATTAAGTTTCAGCCTTTTATGTTGTGATAACCTTGTGTAATGATAAATTTAAATGTAATATTATGAATAGTAGCTGTCTCTTATACACATCTAGATGTGTATAAGAGACAGGTTTCAGCCTTTTATGTTGTGATAACCTTGTGTAATGATAAATTTAAATGTAATATTATGAATAGTAGAGAATAATAGACTTCTTATTTATTTACATTAAAAAAAAAGATGCCACTATTAATTGGCTTTCTTTTTCTTTAAAAAGAAAAAAAACCACAAGATGAAAAAATTGGCAAAAGGCTGAAGTGTTGACAGTGTTGATTACAAAATAGAATGCAAAAGTGTTGAAGGCAACAAAAGTATTGAAGACTAAAAAAATTGATGATTACCAAAAAAAAAACCATGCCAATAATGTAAAAAAAAAATTAGATGAAGATGTACGTAAAAAATAAATTTTAAACCAGTTGATTTTACTCTTTAAGGAAAGAAAATCTATAAGAAATTATACGAAAAATTAGGGAAAAATGATAAAAATCATAAGAATCCTATAGTAGAATTGGCTTAATCGTTATAGTTGAAAAGCTATTTGTGATTAATAGTAAGTTAGCAACTCATTCTATTACTTTTTTTACTTAAAAAAAATATAACTTTAAACTACGGCGATTTTACAAAATAAGATTTTTTTTTTCTTAAAAAGTTGAATTAACTTTTCATTCCATTTATATATTCGACTATAAGTAAATATGTAGTTAAAGATAAAAATGAATACAAAAGAATTCATCTATTTAACCACGTACCACATAAGAAATAAATTATTTTTTTTACATGTAAATGGACATAATATTATTTTTAACGGACCTTCTTGGCTGGAACACAAAAGAATCTGAAAATTACAACCACGTGATAGTATGATCAGCAAATAACAATAATGAGTCGACAGAGACCCGGATTTATTCCGATATTAAATCGCAAATTTTTATCACGATAACGAAAAAAATTCCGATTTTATTCCGATAAAAAATTACCAATTATAGTAAGAAACATTTGATAATTCTAGCCGGCCTACATCTTAATGCAGGCCAACTTAGGTTGCGCTAGTGACACGACAATAATTTTTAGTCAAAAACTGTATAGATATTACAAAATTGCAAAATCACATTTTTTAGTTAGACTTCTATCACGATATAGTCAATAAAATATGCAATAATGATTGGCTAGTTGTCACGTGCCGGAATAAAATTGTTAAAAATCATAAAAATTCCGTTTTATTCCATAATACAGCAAAAATTCTGATTTATTCATTTATTATAAAAATGGAATTTTCCCGGGTCTCTGTGAGTCGATGAGTCGACGAGTCGTGTTTATAGAGGTCTGAGAACAATATTTAAGCAATAACACATAGAACCTCATATTAAATATAAGTAAATAAAATAATAACAGTTAATGAAATGAATCAAAAATGTTGTAATCCAAGTTCAAGAAAATGAATAAAGAAAATAAAAAAATAAAAATACTTAATTTATTGAAAGATAAAGCAGTTGACAGGTGATGTGTTAAAAAAATGTCAAATCTCTATTTTTAATTTCTTGTAACATATTAAAATAACAAATCTAAAGAGATCATCATGAAAAGCCAACCCTTATTATCATTATACCATAATGGTATGAAAGTTACATATTTAGTAACAGATTTTGATGCTCGTGAGAATGAAAAGTTAAAACAAAAAAAAAGGGTTAAAAGGGTTGAAAAAGTATTATCGATCTATTAATTTATCTACTTATGTTATCTATAAATACTTGTATCTTGTAACGATTAAAAAAAATAAATATAATGGATTCTACTACCACTACAAATATTTTATATTGTATTTTTCATTTTCTTGAAAAAAAAAGACATTGCTCTTAACGAAGTCAGTCATTAAATATGGTACTCAATTTGACGGTATTAATATATTACCTAATGATTTTATTATTAAATTGAAGACTTCACCACCCCACTTTGTTAAAAATTAAAATAAAATACCACACCGCAGGTACATTCGTCCCTGGGTTATTAAGGCATATTGGTATTTTACCTGGTTTGTTGTGAGCGTAGTACTTCTCCTTCATATTCGTTGTATTATTTTATTGTCTTAATTTCACTATGTTCATTATATATATATTTGTCGTATATTTCTACAAACTCTCTGAAGTACATACTGATATCCATATAGATGTTGATAAGTCCTTCAACCTTGTTGTGACATATTTATGTTTCTTGTTAATAGTATATAGATAAAATATGTTTTTATTTTTCCATTAAATTTTGGTATGAGAGATCGGCGGAAAGAGTTTTTTTAAAATGATATTATTAACGATATTATTTAATGTCTTTACTGATACTGTATTATAATATCAAAATGATATCTTTAGGATTATTTTAACGATATCAGATAAATTTTTAGGGATTATGTAAAACATCACTAAATAATTTTTTTTTATTTCAAATCTGAAAACTTCATGATATATTTTTAATAATTTTTTTTTTAAATAAACAATTACTATTATAGATTAGAAGCAAATTAGGATGTCTGGTCATAAATAGTATGTTCATGTAATCATGTGATATGTGTATTTTATCGCCCATCTAACATTCTATAAAACTTAACAGTTAATTGCATGTTTAGCTTGGGGAGCATATATAACAGTTCTCTTTCTACGATATAATAAGTAACTAACAGATATAGTAATTATTATAGTTGCAATACCACCAGTTGTTCCACCTATTATTGCTGCATGAGCTATTCCATGCGATTTAGTTGGATAAACTATATTTGTATTATTTGGAGTAAAACTTTTAACCCACTTGTAATTATCTTTTTCGCTCACGTCAATCATATGAATTTGATCACTAAGAATATAATCATGAGTAGTATTACAGTAATGCCTTAAATAATAAAATAATTTGAAAAAAAATTAAATAAACTTAATTCAAGTAAAAGCAAGATTTAATCAATATAACATTCATACCAAATGCAATCATATAATTTCCAACAAGAGTAGCCGTATGTCCACCGAATGGCGCAGAGCTAGGTGCAGTATTGATTTTACTAGGAGTGGACCAATTAAAAGGGGTTACATTGGTATCTAAAACCGATATTTGATTGGGAACAGGATAGTATCTCCTATCGCTTCCTCCATAAATAATAATAAGACCATCTTGTGCTAGAAAATTATTTAACCCATTTTATTAAAAATACTTTATTTAACCTAATATATGTATTTTTTAAAATTGATATATACTTAAGACCGTTGTGTGAATATATCTAGGTGATGGTTTAATTCCACTTGTACATATATACAAATATTCCAAATATTCCGAAACTGTGTTAATATAATAAACATATAGTCAATTAAAATCATTACGTATCTAATAATGATTAAAAAACCCAAAATTATTTATGTTTCGCCGATATAAGCAATTCTTCCATCTGGTAATAAGATTGCCGAAGCAAGATTTTTCGGTACTATATTCGAATCAGATGATTCTAAATACCAGTGAGTTTTTGTAGTATTTATAATATCCATCATATCTTTACCATTATTAACACCACTACCACTACCATATATATATATATGTTCCATTTTTATTACAGACGGCTGATGTCCATTGAATACTATCATTGGTTGATGGAATCATATCCCACTCTTTGTTATTGATAAATCTATAATAAAATTGTTTTCAGAAACTCCACAAATTAGAAAGATCGTATCTTTGTTAGGATCACAAATAGTTGATACCCCATTACCATAAGCATTAACATAACGAGAATCGTTACTTAAATCAGATATTGGTAAAGTAGAATCCAAATTAAAAGGTTTTGAAACGTCTAAATAAAAAAATCATTGGTACTGCTAAAATATTTTTCTGCCATTCCACCAAAAAAATAAATTTTATTGTCCATATAACTTGCGGTATGACCACTACGTTCAACAAGTGTATAAGGACTAGTAATAATTAATTGTGAAAAAAAAAACAAAAAAGAATATAGAATATCGAGACATTTGATTAAAAATGTCACAAACACATTTAATATGTTTAAAATAACATATTAAACACAACGGTGATAAAATTTTTTTATTTATTACGGGCGATAAAGTATAGATTAATGTCACAAACAATAATAAAAAATTTCGCGAAACCTTAGAATAAGTCACCACACTACTGGAAAAATCAAAATACAATATACGATATGACAAAAATAGGAAAATAGGAAAGATGTGAAACTTAAATGTAATAAAACCTTATATGTTGCCTGATTAAATGGCGAATTATTTAGCCTGGTTTTGTTACACACTTAGCTCCTTTAGTATAAGAGGACCCCGAAAAAGTCGAAAAATACATATGGAGGTCATAAATGATCGGCAAGATTTTGGCCTAAAATAAGCAACTTTTCAGGGCCGGAATTATGATAATGCTGGCCAGTATCAAAACGGACAATAAAATTTAGGCCGGCACTATCTAAAGAAGGCAAGATTTTCATGAAAATTTTAAGCAAATTCAAATGGGACCTTTTTATGTATTTTCTGGGGTCCTAGTATAAGATAATAAGAAGTGTCATATTTGTAATAATTTGGCAAAGGAAGTTTTGGCCTTATTATAAAGTTCAGAATATATTTCGTATCTTGCAAAACTGTCTCATAAAAAAAAAATCAAAAATGAAATAATAAAGTAAAAAAAAAAATAAATGAAATAATAATGATAACAATAAGTAATTGTTATTGCTTCATATGCATCATGTGAACTAATATTTTTTTAAAAAAGAGGACGGTATACTAAGCGTCAGATTCGTACCAAAAGAAAGAAACTTTTTTTCCTGCTTCGTGAATTTTATATTTAAAAATTTTTTTTGTTTTGAAAATGCGGTAGAAGTTTCAATACTTCTCTCTTTAAAAAACTACTTTAACAAAAATTTCAAATAAAAAAAATTTTTTTGCAACAGTTTCTTCATTTTATGAGAGTGGCGGTTTCTTAGCATACTAAACAGATAATACAGATAATATACTTTCTTTTCTAAGAACGGCTTTATTTGAAATTTAGAATTTAGATATAAGTTTTGTGTAGATATTTGTTTTACAACAAAGTAATGTAAATTCTTTTTTCTTATTTATGAACAAAATTCAAATGAGAGGGACTGCTTATTAGTTAAATTCAATGGTAATGTTTTGTTAGGAGTTTAAAACAAATTAACTTTTCTTTCTCTTTTTCTATATTTGAAACAGTTCTATGTTAAATTTAGTGGGTAAAGTTACTGAGAGTTATTATGTTATTTTTTACATTTTTTTTCTATTGTAAAGTTCAGGAGGAATAACTTGGTTTAGATTGCTAGAAAATGAAAATGAAGAAACACTACTCTATATCAATATAATTTAAGCAACTGTTACAAATTGGAAAAAAAATTGAAAAAATTTAATTTTTTTTTAAAACTTTTGAATTTTATTTTCATTATATAGGAATAAAAGGTTAAATTATTTGACAAATTATTCAATTAAAAATGCAATGTAATGTATAGTAAATATAATAATAATAAATAAGGATATTATCTACAGGCTTGATGAACGATCAGTACAGCAGTCACAGTTTAAGAAATGCAATTGCTTGATCTTAAATCTGCTTTTTTTTAAAAAAAGACATGTTCGGATAATGATTTGATGATGATTACTTAACTGAATAGTAACAAAGCACAGATTTCTGCAAAGAAATTAAATAATTTATTTAATAAAGTAATATTTTAATTTGCAAAATTATATTTTTTGATTATTAATTATTAGTCAGAAGCACCTTAAATTTTTACTTGTTATTAATCATAATTAGTTTTAGTCTAATAGCAAGTTCCAGATTGTAGATCTGATAATACTAATGTGTTCAGTTACAATAAATGACCACTTCTCAAATGACATATGACCTGTTATTTGATACAAACTATGTAATAAGATGTCAAACAACCAAAATAAATGACTAAAATAACAAATGATTATAAATAAGGACAACAAATCCTTTAAATGGTCAAATAACCGCAAAATATAAGTAATTATTGACTTTTTTTAATATTATAACCGTCATAGTGAATCACTAAAAATTCCTGATTATCAACGTACAGTATATGTCAACGTAAATCTTCCTCTCTTCTTCATTCTACCTTTAAAAATGTCTTTATCTATGTCCTTACCTAATTTAAATCCAGACATTCTTCTTGAGATTGTCAGGGAGTTAAAAGATAATAGAGGTAGTTTGTTCAACTTCCTTTTTGTAAATAAATTTTTCTGTGAAGTCGCTGTATCAGTTCTCTGGAGAAATCCATTTAGATATAAGGTCAATAGTTATTCAATCATACAAACTTATATTAAACTTTTTAATGAAGAGGAACGGGATGAAATTGATGAATTCTATAATGAACAAGAAAAGCCACTTCATTTTCAATATGGAAAATATTTAAAAGTTTTTAAGCTTGAAGAAATAAAGAATGCAATAGGATCATGGTATGATAAGATTGAACAAGAGGATCATATAGGAGGAGATTACAATCGATATGAAGAATGTATCATGAAATCAATTATGAGACAATGTCAAACATTAGATTGCTTGGAATGGCATGTACGTTTTATGAATGAAGATTTATTAAAAATTATGCAAGATAAAATTAAGGATTTGAAATATTTTATAATATGTTACTATAATAGTTATGATTATAGAGAAGAGAAACGAAATATTTTTGGTTATTTAAAAAATCACAGTAAAAATATTTCAAGTTTAATAATAGAAAATATGTGTGATGATGAAATTGCAAAAAAAGAATTGGTTTCTTTTATTGAATTACAAAATGATCTGAATGAATTCATTCTTAAATATACGGGAAAAAATTATGAGTATAAAGTTCTAATCACAAGCACATTAGAATTTCAAGCTAATAATTTAACTAAGGTGATAATAATTGAAGTGGATTTTAGCGACATATCATTTGATATTATTGATAAGTGTATTAATTTAAAATTATTAATATTAAGATCTAACAAAGGGTTAAAATCTAATGAGATGGATTCATATACTCCATTTAAAAATCTTAAAGTATTGGATTTAAGTTATAATGATTGGTCATCTGAAGTAACTATTTTGATTATTAAAAAAGCAGGAAAGAGTTTAACTTCTTTGACAATTGGAGAAAATAATATTAAGCAAGCAATTAATGATGATACTTTGACTGCTTTGACAGATTCTTGTCCAAATATTTATTCTTTATCAATTTCCAAAACTTCTAGGAAAAGCGTTGAAATGGTTCTATCATATCTTAAATATTTAAAATTAATTACTTTACAATTATTTCAAATTGAAAATAAAGGAACGGTTATGAAATCTAAAGTTCTTTTAGATTACATAAAAAATGAAAATTCTCTATTTAAATTGGGATTAGGTAAAAATGACAAGTATTGGGATAGTTATAATAATGTACGTAAAAATTTTGAAAAAATTTTGAAAGAGCATAATATTAGGTTGATTGTATATAACCCAGAATATAAGATCGGATTATAAAGTTATGGATTATTACATTTATTTACTATTTCATATTGTATGAGAATAAATTGTTAGTCAATAATTTAACTATGCTTTTTTATTGTTGAAAGAAATAAAATCTATATTGAAATAAAGCATATTTACTATATTTGTAGTTTGCAATATAAAGAAATAAAATTAAGCTATGATATATAGAAAAATTTTAAAAAATCTATTACGACATTTTCATACAAGTATTCATAATCTAAATATTATTTATGTCCAATGTTTTTATGGAAATTTAACTATTAAATTTGGTAATACAATTTAACAAAATATCAGTTGATGATGCGAAGCAAATGTCTAAGTCTCCTCATTATTAAAAAAAAAAATTTATTTTTGTTAAGACTTAAGACTGCGGTGGGAACATAGTTTACTACGGCGGGCGTAGAGCTAGCTTTACAGCGGATATACTTGTCTATCATTTGCCAAAATTAATGTTAATTCCGGAAAAATGATCAACATTCAACATTCCGATCAAAAGATAGCCCATATGATAAATGAATCAGAAAAAAATTTTTTTAAAATATAACCAATTAATCGGTTTAAACCGGTCGAATATAACCGAATATTCGGTTAAACCGGTTTAAATATAACCGGTTTACATTCGATTATATCGTTTCAAATTGGTTTAAAACCGGTCTAATCAAGTGTTCCTTCTTGATAAATAATATCTTGTTCAAAGATTTGTTGTTGTAAATAGAATTGTGCATGCACCATTAACTCAATCATCACAACTAATTACAACTCGATATTAATTTTTTCATTTCCAAATGCTATTAAAGATGCACTGTTAAAAAAACAGTTTCCATTAGGAGTTGTTCTAACGCAAATATGATTTTTATGTTTATTTGGATGGGAGTAGCTTCATGGCTTCATAGTCTTGCTCATTATCATTCCAATCTTCATTAATAATAAAATCATTAGGTAATATATTAATACTGTCAAATTGAGTACCATATTTAATGACTTCGTAAAGAGCAATGTCTTTTTTTTTTAAGAAAATGAAAAATATAATATAAAATATTTGTAGTGATAGTAGAATCCATTATATTTATTTTTTTTTAATTGTTACAAGATATTTATAGATAACATAAGTAGATAAATTAATAGATCGATAATACTTTTTTAACCCTTTTAACCCTTTTTTGGTCTTAACTTTTCATTCTCATGAACATCAAAATCTGTTACTAAATATGTAACTTTCATACTATTATGGTATAATGATAATAAGGGTTGGTTTTTCATGATGATCTCTTTAGATTTGTTATTTTAATATGTTACAAGAAATTAAAAAAAGAAATTTGACATTTTTTTAACACATCACCTGTCAACTGCTTTATCTTTCAATAAATTAAGTATTTTTATTTTTTTATTTTCTTTATTCATTTTCTTGAACTTGGATTACAACATTTTTGATTCATTTCATTAACTGTTATTATTTTATTTACTTATATTTAATATGAGGTTCTATGAGTTATTGCTTAAATATTGTTCCCTGACCTCTATAAACACGACTCGTCGACTCGTCGACTCGTTATTGCTATTTGCCGATCATACTATCACATGGTTGTAATTTTCAGATTCTTTTGTGTTCCAGCCAGGAAGGTCCGTTAAAAGTAATATTGTATCCATTTACATATAAGAAAAATAATTTATTTCTTATGGAGTACGTGGTTAAATAGATGAATTCTTTTGTATTCATTTTTATCTTTAACTACATCTTTACTTTCATCTTTACTTTCAATTTCATTATTATCTTTAATTTATTTTCAATTTTACTAACTAACCCTCAGGTGTATGGTCGAATATATAAATGGAATGAAAAGTTAATTCAATTTTTTAAGAAAAAAAAAATGTAACTTTAAACTACGGCGATTTTACAAAATAAAATTTTTTTAAGTAAAAAAAGTAATACTAACTTACTACTAGTAATTATAAATAGCTTTTCAACTATAACGATTAAGCCAATTCAACTATGGGATTCTTATGATTTTTTTCATTTTTCCTTAATTTTTTGTATAATTTCTTATAGATTTTCTTTCCTTAAAGAGTAAAATCAATTGGTTTAAATTTTATTTTTTACGTACATCTTCATCTATTTTTTTTTATATTATTGGCATGGTTTTTTTTGATAGTCATCAATTTTTTTAGTCTTCAATACTTTCGTTGCCTTCAATACTTTTGTGTTCTATTTTGTAATCAACACTGTCAACACCTATTTTGCGGTCAGCCTTTTTGACCGGCAATTTTTTCATCTTGTGGTTTTTTTTCTTTTTAAAGAAAAAGTAAGCCAATCAATAGTGGCGTCTTTTTTTAATGAAAATAAATAAGAAGTTTTTTATTCTCTACTATTCATAATATTACATTTAAATTTATCATTACACAAGGTTATCACAACATAAAAGGCTGAAACTTTATTTTACAATAAATATATGGACATTACAGTTAAAAAAAAAATGACTTTTTTTTTGATTGTTGAATTATAGTTCTAGAATAGTACTTTATTTATTATTAAAAAAATTGAAACTGTGAAGTTATTAAGTTAATACGAAATACTATTCAGTTTATCCTTTTTTGATTGTAATATTTTTAGACAATAAAACATTCTTTTTTGATTGTTAAATTTTTGGACAATCAATGTATTCCTTATTTGATTGTGAAATATTAAATAAAGTTTTGTTCAACATTTAAACTGTTACTAATCATATAATCAAATGTGTAAAACTTCTCTAAGGAAGGGTAAAATTGATCACGTGATAGAAATGGCATAGATTAACTTTTTATCATTATTTTAAGCCAAAAAAAAAAAAAAAATGTATAAATACTGTATTGAAGAATTTTTCTTTCTTTTTTTTTAACAAAACAAATTCGTCAGCGGTAAATATATTCATTATATAAATTTACTTAATTTTTCAAAATCTTTTTTTTTTCATAACGATAAAATTTTTTTTTTTAATGTTATTTATAGTTGGATTAGTAAACTCGATCCACTTCGTAAGTAAATTTTACCTAATTTAAAGTTCTTAATTTGATTTTAATATTATCTAAATTTTTCTTTTTAGTTTGTCACGAGAAACTTTGTGAGGATGAAGAATTATACCTGTCTCTTATACACATCTAGATGTGTATAAGAGTCAGGGCTAGTAAAGAAATCAATAAAGGATTTACCTCGAAACAAATTCGTCAGCGGTAAATATATATTTATTATATAAATTTACTTAAATTTTCAAAATCTTTTTTTTTTTTTTTTATTTTTAATTTTTTTTTTTTTATGTTATTTATAGTTGGATTAGTAAACTCGATCCACTTCGTAAGTAAATTTTACCTAATTTAAAGTTCTTAATTTGATTTTAATATTATCTAAATTTTTCTTTTTAGTTTGTCACGAGAAACTTTGTGAGGATGAAGAATTATACATTATCGAATGGGTTGAAAAATATAAAAATAAACATCCATCTAATGTTATTACTAACTGGAAACAATTAGTTTTAGATTTGAACAATAAATTTGGTAAAATGAGATCAGAAAATAAAGTGAAAAATCATTATTTCTTAAAAGAAGGTCGAGAAAAACTACAGGGACAACTACCTTCGAAAGATGATGCATCATCTTTCCCTCAAGATAGTAATTCTCCAAAAAGCGTACCATCTTTCCTTCGAGATAACAATGTCCCAAAAATCGGGTCATTTTATCCTCAAGATGATAATGCCTCAAAAAGCGCACCATTTTATCCTCAAGATAATAACGTTCTAAAAAGCGTATCATCTATTAATAACATTCAAGAAAGAAAAGTTTCTGAAAAGATGAAAATCAGAAGTTTGTTAATTTAGTAAAATACACTCCAATTAGTATAAAAACAATCACATGTTATATTATCATATTATATTAAACTTATATATTTTAAATCGACAAAAAATACAAAGTGATGAAAATTGAAAAATAAGAAACAAAAAAGTTAATTAATAATTATTTTGAAGTAAGAATTATCATTTTTTAACATCTGAGAAAATAAGTATAGTTTTGTTAGCCCAGAGCATAGCGAAGGACTATATGTTCTAGTTGTTCGCCTGCAAAATTATCTTGATCGGTTAATTGGCCATGTGATAATCCACCTATTTTAACTTGTATACTTTCGATCATTTATTAGAATTTACATTAAATTTATTTCTTTGTAAAAAAGTACTAAATAGAATTTTATTGTTTTCTAAAAATGAAACATATTTGTATGATCTTTTAACAATACATAATAAAGCACAGTGTGAAATACATATCACCCGTAGGGATGACTGATATGTTACTCTCCATTCTTATGCATGCCACCCAAGATCATGCCTAATTTTAGCAATTTTTTAAATAATTAACGTGTTATTTTTATACATAACTGATATTTTAACCCACCCTTTTTACTGGCAAAAATAATGGTAATAGGCTGCATAATAATATATATTTAATAACCGTAGATTGTTTTCTATCGTCATACTAATATAATTTGCTCATTATTCTTTATAAAAAATGTCAGGACCACTAATCACTCAGCAGATTGATAATATTATTAAGGAGCTTATAAAAGTGTTGGACTATCTTCCTCACCTTTGTGAAATGATTCGTGAAAAAGTCAATGAACAATATTTATTCTACAGATTTTTTACTTCAAATCAAATCTGTCAATAAAGATACCGTCATTATTTACAATTAATTAATTATTTATTTATTCGTTTTATTCATTTACTTGGGTTTTACTATAATTTAGTTTGAAAAACGTATTAAATAAAAATATCATAAAATAGAACTCAACCTTTCGTTACACAGGTTGACAATTCTGTTAAAGAGTTTATGAAAGAGTTTTGAGTTTGGACAGTCATCCAACCTTTATGTGAAGATTAATGAAAAAATTAATAAACAATATAATACAATTTATACTTCAAAACATTTGTTATTTATTCATTTATTCATGTATTTGGTTCTATGATAATTTAGTTGGATAAGTAAACTCTATACAAATCGTAAGTATACTGTAACTTACATTTATATTGCTCTTTTAACAAGGGGAAAAGGAGGAACAATGAAAATAATCATTGCAACACATTTCTCTGATTATTTTTGCAAACAAGGAAGGAGGAACAATAATAATAACCTTCGTAACAGTTTGTAACAGATATCATCGCACAACTTTTCCATCTATCATTAGCCGCAGTACCACAGTAATGACTTAATACGAGGCCCATCAAAATGGAACCGCCACACCTCTTAATTTCCAGAAGCGGTTTAGCTCAGCCTGCTTAACTAAATTGACTAAACCATTAAAGTGGAATCTTAAAGAAAAAAAAATAAATAAAAATTCATCCCACTAACTAGTACTTATTTTTCTTTCACTAAAAGTGCCACACGTAAATGTTGTCGGGTATGGAAGTGTGTATAGGGAATTACAGCTGTATTGTTAGATTTTATAAAATGCTAAAGGAGTATGAGGCTGCTACCTTGATAATATCAGGCATAATATCAAGTGACGCGACATTTTTTAAAAGTGTGATTATGATCAAGGATCGTGATGCAGGGTCGATAGTGGTGAAATATTAATTTGATTATGATGTGATTGTACTGTATCTGTATCAATATTCATATCAAAAGTATACAGTCAACTCTTGATATAACGAACTCGAAATTTCCAAACACGTGACATTTAACTAAACAAATACGTCAAATATTCCAGATCAGCCAATTAAATTTTTTGAATTCTTCTCTATAATTTTATAGCGAATTTGAGATGAAAACCTGAGGTTTGCTATAATGAGAGCTGACTGTAATTGATTTAAAATTTTTGTCTTACTAGATATTTTGAATCCTATGTTGTTGGGTGTTATCTACTATTTGGACGACGCGCTTCCTGATTCTATAATGTTGTTTTTTATACAGTAGAGAGGAGCGATTATCTCACAAATTAATGTAATAAGTGTTTTTAAAATAATCGTAAGAATCTCCAATAAAATCCAAGGCGAAAGGTTTTAATCTTAATTTTTATTCTTTTTACGATAATTTCTATTATTAATTCTTTTTCTCTTCCTCTGAAAGGAGAAGGATTAAATGTTTTATGAATTTCCAAATTAATATATATAGTATATTTTAATGCCAAACGTAAATATTGTCAAGTTGGAAATGTTAAACTTATTTCTATAAAAAGAAACTATTGTAGGTTTTTGTAAATTAAACACTTTACTTAATGTGAAAAAAATTATAGATTTATTTTTTAGGTACATTTTTGTTTTAGCGATCTCTTATTGAAAATGTAAGTAAATTTTGGTTTTTTAATTTATTTTTTTCATCTTTAGTACTAATTCATTTATTTAGAGTTTGTCTCATTTTAGCCTTTAAGCGTGTTGGAATTTGGTGGGTAAGTTACTAGGTTTCCTTATTTTTTTTTTATGTTTACAGTAACGAAATTTATTAATAGTTTGAACTTTCTTTTTAAGATATGGTCTAGACACATGGGAATTTGGTGAAAAATCAGCTTAAATACTTAGATTTAGATATCCTAGTCACCTAACCTTTATATTCACAGGAAATATCAAGAAGTTATTGAAAAGATTAGGAAACAAAGATAAGAAGAAACAGGACGTGGGATTTTGGCTAATCAGCTGGAATACTGCTGGACTCAGGAATTTTTTTTCTAGACGAGTTTGAAGGTGGGAACTTACACATTTTTTTAAACCATTTTTTTTTAACGAAATACTTACTAACGTTTTGTTTCTTAGCAAACTCATACTTGTCTTAAAAAATTGCGCGACATCTATCAAGATACTGATCATACTTAAATGATAAAATCTTTGTGATGACAATTTGGCATTTTATTTTAAGCAAAGGTTATGACGGTACATTATGAAGATCATGAAACAATTAGAAGTGATGTCATTTATTTACCATATATTCATTATTTGTATATTAATTAGCTTATAGGTACAAAATGAATGATGTGTTAATATTTATTTTCATTAAGTATGTATAGTATTTTACTTATTAAACATTTTTCTATATATGTGAATTGACATCAAAATATTTTCTCTTTTTATTAACAAAAATTTGGAAAGATATACATAACATCTGCATACAGCAGTGGAATAATTATATGTTTATATTTTTTAAGGGGCTGTGTTACGTTAAACAAACTATTTCATAAGAGAATTCATATCTAACATTAATATGGTGATTAGCAAGAAGATGTAGTAATCACTTACCTACCAATGATGAAATTCAATCACGTAAATAAAAGAAAAAATGTTGAACCTAACACTAGTAATATTATACTTCTCAAGATGAAATGGCCAATAGAATTTTAGATTTTTTCAATGATAATAAGGTTGTTGATGAGGTAGACGTTGAAGATTTCCAGAATTTTGATGTAACTTAATATAGAGAAGAAGCAAACAGAAAATTTTTATTGAAAAGTTTGTTAGATAAAATGTCCGGAAAGATATCAATTAATTTATACCGATCGGTTATCGAGCTTGCGCTTCTATGTGATAAGTACAACAATAACTACAATGATGATGACGATAACGACGATGATGGCGAATCCTCGAAGAGAGAAAAAAAGGTCATTGAAAGAATTAAAATCGGTTATGATCAGTACACTTAGAGCATCTTCTATTTTAAAAATTTCGAAAAGATTTATTTTATTGTTAGTAAATGCAAGAAATATGGTTTGGAAATTACAAAGTTCAACCTACTTTTTGGAGATTATTGGTTAATTTTCCGTAACATTAAAATTTTATATTTTATATTTTAGTATCCAAATATTTGTAAAGAACTATCAATCATTGACTTGTATTTTAATAAAATCCTTATGTAAAAGATAGCCAAAGCAAAGACGATGTGGACGAGAGTGTTAAATTCAACGGTATGTTTGTAAGTTACAGTATCTTAATCCGTTGAAAGGATACGGGAAAATGCACAATTCCGCAACACTAAAAGTATGATTTGGATACGGGATTTACAGGGAATTTATACGGATTTACTTGATTCTGAATTTACTATTTATATAATCTTCCATTAATTAAATTAGTCAAAATCGTTAGATTTAAGATATCCTCAATGATGAACCATTTTCTCTGAATGCTGCCATCGTACTTACTTTAAAGCATAAATCTTACAGTTATTACAATTATTCATATTATCACGTTCTCTTCATTATTTCATACATTATTTTTTTGTCACTATTTCGTATATTATTCTTTCATTTCTTTTTTGATACTATGATGTTAAGAGAATATTAGACAAATAAAAATATATAAATGGAATAAACGTTCTGTAAATATAAATTCATGTATAATGTAATATTTTATTTATTCACATGAGTGTAAAAATACTTACCCAAAGAACTTGTTTAGTAATATTACTATTTCTTGCAAGAATAAACTAACCTTTTTTTTACAGATCATATTGCATACGTATTAATAAAATTTCCAAAATTCAAATGATTCATAAACATTAAATTAAAAATTTTGGGTTTATCTATTATTCGGTAAAACCATTATTATTTTCATTTTCTTTCATTTTATTCCATTTCCTTTTTTTTTTAGAAAATGTTTTTTTATTCATGAATTTGGTAAAAATGATGTGAAAAACTCCTGTAAAAAGCAACGTCAATTGATATTGACGTCATTTAACTCATTAATTATATAATCTTTTAACAACTTTAATTTTTTTTTATATGATAGGGCACTTTTACTTACAGCTCAGCCGATATTAAAACATTGAATCAAGCAATGATTTAGGATGTGCCTTTTGGGATATTCTGTTTGTATTTAAAATTTTTGGTAATTTAGCTTAAAATAATGATATATTAAATTTTTTAATTTTAAAATATAAAGGATATTTATGGAAATGAAACAACAAATGAAATTCTCCTTTCAAAAGTTCGTAATGAAGTATTTCTTTCATTTTCAAAATTTGGCATTGCGAATAGTGAATTTAAAGGTATGTCGGGTACACTATAGAATACGTTCATAAAGCTTGCAAAATCTTGTAGACCCATTAAAGACACTGTCGGCAATCTAGCAGAACTTGTTAAAGAAGGAAAAATCAAATATATTGGTCTTTCTGAATGTTCCGCAGAAACTCTTCGACGTGCTTATAAAGTGTATCCTATTGTCGAAGTCCAAGTAAGTATAACAATTTTTATTTATAATATTGTCATTATTTTAACGTTCAAATGACTAATATTAACCATATTAAAAATTATTTTTTAAGATTAAATATAGTTTCTTGGATTCTTGATATTGAAACAAATGGAATTATGTAAGCTTACCCTGAATTAGGTAGCTTATAGCCTACTTAGACGCAGATTTCTAACCGTATTATCATTTTGATTTCTAAGTAATTTTACAAAATGTATGCATATGTATATTTTTTTTAGGAAAATATAAGTCTATTGATGATAAAATTTATTCCACATTTTCAGGGTGACAATAAAAATTTTGGAAATTGGATATAAATTTAATGAATTTGTGGGGGAAAAAGGCGTAACTTCAGGAAATTTAGTTTATCTTGGATTCTAGCTCAGGTAAATATTAACCTTAAAAATTTATTACATTTTAATATCATAACATTTTATAAACTATAATATTTTATATACTTTTTACATGAAAATAATATGCTTGTTATTCTTGGTATAAGAAAAATTAAACATTTGAAAGAAAATATTGAAACAGCAGTATAAGTTAATTTCAGTTCTGAAGAATTATCTGAAATTAGGAAAATTATTAATTTTATTGACATTGTAGATAATGACATTTATATGAAGGTAGGAAATAATAATTATTTGTATATATATTTGCCTTTTATATTTATTTACAACGAATTAATATTTTCCTTATACAAAAAAACAAATATAATACGACTTTGGATTTGTAAAAAAGACCGCCCTCAATTATAACTTATTTTAATCAACCGAAATTATTTTATAAAATTCAATAAATTCAAAATTACTATGTGAAGATTTTCATGTTAAAACAATAAAAAGATATTATTGGGCGTTTTTTATAAAACTAGTAACGATTTTGTTGATCATTTGTTGATCATTTATTTTAAATTTATTATAAATTTTGTCACGAGATTTTCTATGGAAATCATTTCTCAATTTGTTATTAAAACACCTGCTGAATTGCCTCGAAATTGAAAATCATTTCCCTTTTTATAAAAAAATTTCCTTTTTGGTAAAAAACTCTCAGATTAATCTTATATAACTTTATGTAAATGTCAATGACAATGTGGAAAAAAAAAAAAACTTCTTCCCCAAATTATTAAAAACATAACAATTCCGCAGTAAAAATAATATTTTTACTCAGTTTTTTATTAATATGGAAGATAGTAGAAAATATCCTATAGCCGAACATAAATTTCCTTATGGGTCTGGCGACGAATATAATTTTTTAATATTAACATATCACCATTTTATAAAATATTGTGAAAGTCTAGCTTCTTCATTTTTTTCAGGTCATGACACAGAAGTTCAGCGTAATATACTGCGCGCTAATTTTGGCCTTTCAGATGAAGATATTAATAGTTGGAAAGAAAGGGCTTTACGCTACAACATGTCAACTGAAAGTTTCACATTTTTTCTACATATAGCAATATCCTCTGCGGTGGATGGTTTCCAAGCACGAAGGAAAGAATTAGAAACTTTTGTAGATCACGTGACTAAATATAAGGAGACATCTAGCAAAAAGTCCAAAAAAATCGACAAAAAAAAGAAAAAGTCGAATAAATCCAAACACCGTTCCATAATTAATTCTGACGTAGATTCAGATGAATTAGATGATTTTCTTGATAAGGCAAATGAAGAGTTCGCTCATTTTAATTATTCTTCCGATGATCGAGATTCTAATATTAATCGGCCGATCGCGACAGCCTCTGGATCAAAAATGGATGTTGATCATCCGATTAATACAAATGAGTCATCAAATACGGTCTTACAATCGGTACCTAATAAGCCTCAGTCGCAGCCTATACAAATACCGGAGAAAAGTATTACCGATTCAACAAAGTCTTCAAATAAAAATAAGAAGTTGAATAAACACCTTATCGAAAAAGTTATTACAGGTCATAAGCCAGCTGATGATGATACATCAATAGTTAGAGATATTCTTGTTTACGACGTCCCAGTATCCTGGACGGCAGAATATATTCTGCAACAGTTAATGCTGTGGGGAAAGCCTATCGATATTCAGATGAAACAACAAAGAAAATATCAGACTGTTCGTTTGAAGATAGAGTTAAGTACCTTTCGTCTTGCCCAATTTGAAGTTAATGAAAATCCTGTGTGGACAACAGATTTATGGGGGATACCGGTAAGATGGTTTCCAGCAAGGTGGACTCTCAAAGAACGAAAACAACGTGAGAAATTCCAAGCTACGATTAGAAAAATTCCAGATTCTATGACGTATGCAGCCTTATGGGTCGACCTTCTCCCACATACTTTTCTTTCTTCGGTTAGAGGGTTGAAAAGTTTTAAAATTATTCAAACAGCTCGGGGTGAACGTAAACTTATTGGTTATTTCGAAAAGTGGGTTGATATGCGGAATGCATTAGATAATCAATTTGTTTGGGATCTTCAGTACCTATCTTGGAACCGATACGAACCTCCGATGCAACAAACAAGGTCGCATGGTAGTAATGCCAACAAGAACCAAGGAACTTCAAGAAGTCAATTGACTAACAAACATCAACGAAATTCAAAGAATTTGAAGAAGAAACCAGATGAGACGAAGTCTGAAAAGCCAAAGAAGCAAAAGAAAGACAAGTCCCGTAAATCATCGAGATCGAAGGTCTTAGCGGAAGTTATAGATGTTTTGCGTAAATTAATAATTTAGGTTTTAGAATTGAGGGTAAAATAGTGGTTCAAAGGT